AATCCCAATCCTATCGGAACGGATATCTCTGTTAAAAATGGGATACAAACTACAGAATCCCGAGAAAATACATTAATGGGTTTTAAGTCTGGATGAATTGTATTCACAGAAAATGGTAACGGTATCAAAAACCCTGGAATATTTTTGCTGGAATCGGGACTTAGACGGATTTCTGTCGAGCGAGAGACGATCGGGATCGGGATGAAAAAACCCACACCCACTCTCGGACTCTACCTGAGGAGATCAATTCCTCACGGTTCGCTCAGTATAAACATAATGATTAGATTCAGGTATGAAATAAAACTTGTATTATACCTGATAATCTCTTTTGATTGAAAGTTTTTCAATATAATTATCAAAACAATAAGATTTTGTATTAATTCCAATATGTTTTGTTTTTGGTAAACGTGTGAATGTTCTTGCTAATTTATCTACACGATATTCACATATAAATAAATCCGTTGATAATATCCGACTACTATATTCACATATTGGTTTTCCTTTACAGAATGTGCTCGTATCTAATACATAACATGGACGAATAATTGTTTTGATTTCAATTGAATCATTTGTTGATGGAAAACGAAAGACTTCATTTGAATAAAATTTTCGATTAACTTCATGAAATGTTTCATATGGACGTAGATAATAAAATCCAGATGCTTTGCCGATATTATTTTCATCCATCCAAAGTCGTTCAATAAAAAATATATCATATTGTGATGATGATGATGTTGGATTTTCTTCTTGTTTTGATACAAAATAACATTCATTTATACGAATTATAAAACCATCTGAACGTGTTATAGTTAAATAACAAGATTGACTATTTTCCAAAATACAAACATTTGTTTTTAAACAATCTGAAGGATTTTGTTCGCATAAAGGATGACATTCAAAACAAAAATAAGGCCGAGATGTATCAGTTATTGTTACACATGAAATATGTTGCCATAGCTAAAATAAACAAAAATATTTTTGTCATCAGTATTCAAAAGGAAGAATTATTGCTATTAAGTTTTTTCTAGGTAAGAAAATAATTATTTTTCTTTCTATGGGTTTATTCTGAGAAAGACGACGTTTATTTCTGTATAGTAAATACTTCGGTACTTCTACACTACAAAATTATGTCTTCTTCCCTCATTGTAAACCCCATTTAAATGACTAAGGAGTTAATGTTCTTACATGACAAGCATAACATTGTACAAGTGCAGTTTCATCATAAAAAGAACCACATCGACAATGTATGATAAACTTATTGATTAAAGTATTTTTTGGTGTTTGATGTGTATTTGCTGGAATTATTATTGGTAAAGAATTATCTATAGTAAAAATAGCATCATAAAGAATTTCTCTACATTGTCCATTGAGAACTTCTTTCTCGTGTAAACGTGTTATAAAATCTTTTAAAATATTTAAATTTCTTTCATTTTTATTTTCTTCATTCATATTATTAAATAAATCAATTGTTGATTGATATTCAATTTTTAAAATATCAAGAAAATAGATTTGTAAATCTTTTACAGCACGTCCAACATCAGAATCTTCACCACAATAAGTCTAGAAAAACAAAAAAAGTTTCATTATTTGAAATAAAATAGAAATTAACATACAATAGCATTTGTAAATAATAATAATAAATCTTGTTCAAATGAATTATATGAAAAATAATCTCCATTATCTAATTTATTACGTATTATTGTTAAATCAATTGGTTTTGATATAATTTCATAATACATTGGAAATAAACGTTTTAACGGACATTTTTTTAAAGCATTTGTTGGATAAATATCACTATTTGGACATTTATAATTTAATAATAAATCAAATATTTCATTTAAAATTAATGTTAATTGTGCTAATTGAGCATAATAACATGTTTTATCAATTAATTCAACAGAACATTGACGAGTTTTACCAAAATGTGATCGACGAATATAATTGTAAAATAAATTTAGTAGATCTAAATATATTTATTCATAGAAGTATTACGTTCATCTTCTCAGTTTTGAATTGATTATAAAGAATGTAAAGTCTCGAGTAGGGATGTACCGACCTCCAGCCTCTCGGGCTCGGGCTCGGGTGTCAGGATGGGTGTGGGAGTGGGTAGATGTTGGTGAGAGTAAAAAGGATAGTATCCACATCCACCCACACCCCTTTTATACTAATGCTTTGCAGTATTTTACCCAGGTTTCTTTTTTCGGATGGGCGGAATGAAAACTCCGTGTGGGCGTCGCTTATCGGTATTTTGTCTAAATCTCGTTTCAGAATGGGCACTGCCTAGTGGTGGGCGATGGGGGTGATCGGCCCTCCTCACCCCGCTCTCTTCAGAACTTGGTTTTGATTTTTTACAACAAAAATAGGTTCACACTACTTCGACTGGACTCAAAAATCGTTTTGAGCCGAAATTGTCCCCGCCCTACTCAGGTATTGCCGCTTCCTTCCAATATCCTAGATTCGCCACTGGCGCCGCCCACTCACTAGATAAAACACTGATGCTTTGTATAAAAATATTTACCTTTATGAGATATATTTAAGCTTTCATTTAAATCATCTGTTTTGTTAATTGTATTTGAATGATAATAATTTTGTGGGAAGAATAATGATGGTACTTGTTCATCTATTTGTTGTTTTTGTTGATTATTATTTTTATCTTTTAATTCTTTTTGGTCTTTTATTCGTTGAAGATTACGTTTTAGAAAAATAGTTGTTTGTAAAATAATTTGTTTTTCTTCAGGAGTTAATTCTTCCATTTTTATTAAATCTTTATTAATATGTTTTTTATTAGAAGATAAAATATTTGATTGAATAGATGGATCTATATAATTATTATTTATAATTCTTTTATTAGGTACTGGTTGTTTTTGTTTTGATTCACTGGATTTTTTCTTCTTATTTTGATTAATAGGTTTTGAAGGTGATATAATTGTATTTCCTTGTTTTTGACTAAACCAATAAATATCATATGGAAGTTGATAATTAATAATAGATAATTTATCATCTTCGGAATGAAATATACCAGTATAGAATGATGGTAATGCACCTAAAGACTGTCGTCGTTGACGTAAGAGACGGTTTTTATTACTGAAAGTAAAACAAAGAAAAAGTTATTTGTTTCTTTTAAAAAAAACATTTTATTAAATGCGAACCTGTTAGATTTAATATCAATATCACTTGTAGTTTTATAATAATTTGAACGAAGGCCATTCTTAATATAAGTTTGTTTTGGTAATTCATCAGGTAATATATCATCATCACTAGAATAGCAATATAAATGTATTTCAAGGTAAAAACTTGACAACCTAATACTAACAATTCTCTATATATTTAACATCGACTGATAAATGATTTATTCGACTCAAATATTTCATCAGGAGTTATTTAATAAAAGAAAAGTCTTTACCGAAGGCAATGCAAGTGTATAAAGTAGTTTTAACATTATTGATCTATACAGTACATGACAAAATGAAGTAATAAGGGCACTAAATCCACAATTCAGTCAAACAATCATAATCTTAAAGAAAACACTTCATGGCATGAAGCTTCATACGAGTTCTATCTACGTAATTAACTTTTGTGATAATTATCAACTGCATGATTTTTCTTTGTTATTGAAATTCCAATAGGAATGATCAAACATAGATCAAAACCGTATTGAATTACTGTATCGGAAATTAACCAAAGCAAAATTTGAATCAAGACTATCAGTCGTACTACATATCTGTTCTCATTCATCTAGATCGTAGAAAATTTCATTTGGTAAATATTTGCGAACGATGTATTATGCAGATTATAATACTATGATTTAATTCTTACCTGTCCGAATATGAAACATCTTGATAATCATTGATAAGAATTTCTGGTGATAATGGTTGTATAATTTTTTTCTTTTTCTTCGTTTCACTTATATTTAAATTCATTGTCATTGATGTTTTACGTTTTCGATTATTCATATTATCATCCACTTCTTTTTCTATTGATAGCGGTGGCGGTGGCGGTAGTGGTGGTGATTTTAAAATAACAACTGGTGGAATTTCTTCACTTACACGACGTTGTGTAAATGCTAATGGTAATGGTTTATCTTTATCTTTCTCTTTCTTATGTTTTCGTTTCCGTCCACGTCTTCGTGATTCTTGTTGAGGAATAGGTAATGGTGAATTAAGTTTAATTGTCATTGTTTCATCAATATCTGTAGGTGATTGTGGATTAATAATAATTGGTACATCATGATGTTTTACTAATATATTTGATTTTGAACCAAAATATTGACCACGTTGAATAGCTGTATGAAAATGTGGATAATATGTCCGTATTAAAAGACTTTTCATTTGTTCATAATGAATATTTTGTTGTTCTTCAATTGTTAAATTTTTTCTAAAATCTTTATTTGTTGTTAAAAATATTTGTTTTGTCGGATTTAATTGTAAAATATGAAAAATATTTTTTGGTTCATGTCGATGTGATGATGAACTACGACGATTAACTGACCAATCGGTTTTAAATGACATTGATGATGATGAATTATTTCCGTTTATTGTTTCTTCATTTTTCTTCGAAGAAGTTTTTTGTGACGCT